TGTTCTCAATGCAATTAATACAACTTTTGGAGTTGACATCATCTCATATGATTTGTTGAACTTGCTGATGCAAATGTTGGTTTTTTTTTTTCACAAGAGACAAGAGTTTGCACCATACTTTATGTTTCACTGCTTTTGCTGTTAAAAGAACATAGTGGAGAAAATGACAAAGATGGATATTTGTATGTTTTTATTTATGCATCTGGAAGCCGCCTAGAGTGGTCGCAAGACCAGATGGGCAGGGTATTAACTAATTAACTAATTAACTAATTAACTAATTAACTAACTAACTAACTAACTAACTAACTAACAAATAAATAAATAAATAAATATTGCATTCCTGTTGTCAAAAACCACCCTCTAGAGAAGAGGTGTGCAAACGACAGCCCTCTAGGTATTGTTTGTCATAATTGGCTATGCTGGCTAAAATGGACGGGAACTGCAGACCAATAACAAAAAAAATGCTGATCACTATACTCACCCAATCTCCTGAAAACAAAAAGCTGATCCCACAGCTATAAATACTCAACTACCCAACAAACTGCGCCAGAGCACAGAGAGTTATGACTCCTGTCCTCTGAAGATGCAGGCCACAGAGACTAGTGAAACGTTAGGAAGAAAAACCTTAAGAACATGGTCAAACAGCCAGGAAAACTCACAACAACCATTGGATCCTGGCCATGAAAGCCTTCAAGAATACAATCTAAGTAGGTTTGGTCTTGGCTGAAACTATCGGATGTTAAAGTTAACTTGAGATCTGCTAGCTAGTTTTATCCTGATGGATCTTCCAGGCATGTGCTCTGGCACAGGAGTGTATTGCACAAGAAGGAGATCTGACATCACATTGTTCCAGCAATTATAACCAAGCTAAGCAATGACTAGAAGCTGGGTGGTGGTGGTTTTATCAATTGCAAATAGAGGGTTTTATTCTGTTTTCCTTAACTGTGAAAGACAGATATGATGGACATATTTGTTCAGGTATCACAAGATTAGGATAAGAACTTGAGCATCTGCAAACTAAGAGGCAATATTTAAACTTCTGCACCCAGATTAGCCCACTCCCTACAGGAAACCCAGGAGTGTCATGCAGCTGTATGAATTATATTTGGCTCTCATTTTGGATCTAAGCAATGGGAAATTGAAAACATACTGAAGTACTTTGAAAAAATGAATCATCCTCTTTGTTCTTTTCTAACCCTGTTATACAAACCTCAAAGAAAAAGAGCCATTCTTATATATTTCCCTATAGAAGCTGCATTTGGGCAGTTCAGAAGAAATCACCTTTTGGCCAACAGCTGTGCTCAGCATTGTGATACAAAGAAAGTAACATGTCCAAGCTCTGCATATCAGTGTAGACTAGGAAATCAGGGTTTGAGATGTGTTAACATCTGTCCTGATCAGTCTTAAGAAGTGTTATCTGAACTTGTATGAAAAACTATTACTGAGTAACTTCAAAAGTACTTTACATCAGGGGTCCCCAACCCCATCTGCGACCCAGTGCTAGTCCATGGACTTCACAGGACCGGGCCAGGGAGACTGATCTCCCACCCCCCGCACACATGCATTGTTGGCGTGGAATGCTCGCACAGGTGACTGGGCTCATTTGCAAATGGGTGCAGTGCACTCACGTGTATGTGCGTGTGCACACCCCTCACCCACAAGCGTGCCATGCCCAATTGCACACACTTGCATGCACCACACCCATCCTTGAACGTGCCACACCAACCTGCGAATGTATCACTCCCACCTGCAAGCACAGGGGGTGCCCCCACTCTCCCACACGTGGACCCTGCCCCGCCTACTGGTCCACAGTTCCAAAAAGGTTGGGGACCACTGGTTTACATCATGCCAGATTCATTACCTTCATTCAACACTACCATTTGGCCATCTGTGCAGCGCCAAACTGGTATGAACCTCTGAACTAAGGTTTGTGTCAATCTCCAATTCTAAGCAATTGTGATTTCTACAGTACAAAATAAAGCTGAAAAAAGTACTAACTGAAGGACTACAAAAAGTTGATTTCCCTTCCACACTGCCTTGATTACCAGAGTCAGGCCAGTCCTCTGTATGAATCTCATTTAATTCTTAATTCACTGTCTTCTTGGGGGAGGGGGGATTGTAGCTCTGTAGTATGTGGAAGAAAAAAAATTACAAAGGAGATGGTATATGGTACAAAATATTTGTCAAAACCAGGCTTATTTGTCTCCAAATACTTTAGCTTGCTTCAGAGGCAGCAGGGAAGAAAATTTGAATTTCCAGTACAGTGTACTGTGGTCTTCCATGATTATACAAAATTAATTTTAGCACAAAGTTTGACTCTGGGACTGCTGCTGTTTTCTACGCAGCTGCTCAGCTGAATACTTCAGAATACAACTCATATTTTGTTTTGGTCTTTTAAAACAGGGGTCCCCAACCTCCATTCCACAGGCCGGTACTGGGTCGCGGCCTTGGAAGGACCGGGCCGTGGAGACAGATCTCCTACACTCGCATGCACGTCCCCATGGTAATCCCACATACACGCCCCCTCCATGGTGCCCCACCCATCTGCGTAAACGCACCCTGCCCATGCATGCATGCACACAAGCACGTCCCATCCCCCCACAAGTGCACCCCTCCCATGCAAACATGAGCGCAAGTGCTCCCTGCCATATGCACGTTAAACTGCACCCACCCACATGCCCACCAACCAACCTACAGTTTAGAAAAGGTTGGGGACCACTGCTTTAAAACAAATGGAGCTCAGAAAGACTCCATGTTATAATGATCCTTAATTTTGCTTTGTACCAGAACCGTGGCACTCCCATTTAGAGTACAAACACTCAACAAGGCATCTTCTTTTTTTATGGACCTTTTTACAGAATGCATATTTCATATTCTAGAATAGTATCTGAATGAAAGCAGCAAAGGTCCGTGTGCCCTACCTCACGTGAAGGGGCAACACACATAACAGCTCGAATCAAATTGCAGGTACTGTATCTGTTCAAGGACCTGTCTCTGCCAGGAGAAATGGGAGAGAAGAATGCATTCTTTCTGATGTAGCCCAAAGACCCACTCTGGAGGGCTCAGAAATCCTCTTGAGCCACTGTGTGGGCAGGGCTGAGGAGGCTGCAGCGGGGAAGGGAGAGGAAAAAAGTTCTGGATTTAGCCCGGTGTCCTTGATGAGCCATGCCATGTAAGAACAAGATGAGTGCTCATCTTTCCCAGGAAAAGCAAATTAAGTTTAAAAAAATATTCTGTATGTATCACAAGTGACCGTATCTTCCTCTTCCAGGCTTTAACTGAAAATAAAATAGAAATCTTCATTTGAATTAGAAAAATATACTACCAGAAACTATGTCCCAAATTTAGTATTTCCTTCCAGATATATTTAGACATGCTCAATAGTACTCGTATTTCAAAATCATTTCATCTCAATCACCTGTTGTTTTTCCTGATACATCTGCAGTATTTCAAGTTGATATCCAAAAATATGTAATCCAGCATTAGATTGTTCTAGCATTTGTGATGGAAGCTTCAAATGAAAACAATGCCTGAAATAACCAAAGTATGTCAATGTAACTTATTGCTCAATACCATTCAAATAAGCCAACTTCTGGTAATGATGAGAATGCTTTTGTTTACAAGGGTGTGGGGAAGAAAAATACATAGAAATCCAGTCAGGAAGTTTTATTTGAAACAGGCTTAGAGGCAACAACGTTTCAGAAGTTTTAAGCTTGTTTCCAGTTCCATTTAACTTTGACTCAGCTGTAGCTGAACAGCTAAAAGCACTATTCAGGTTTTCAAGCAGCTGTTTCTTCACATTCCTGCCCCCCTCATCTGCCCACCTCTAGACCAACTGAAGATTACTAAACTTTACTTTGGAACTCTACTAAGCTACACATCTGCAAATTAGTGATATGATCCAGTTGTAATAGAATTTGGTACTATATAGGCTCATTAATTTTACAGCTGCAGAATTTCTGCACAAGCATTTGAAGCTGAAAAGTAGCATATCCATGGAAAACCAAACTTCTCAATATATACCACCCTGGATTTCTTAGTTGTTATGGTTATAAAACACACAAATGTTGACAAGTTTACTAAACATACCTTGCACTTTGGTCCACGAGATTAATTCCCGTTTTCTCTCTCATTTTACTTGATGTCATTAATAAAAACTGTAAGGCTAAAGAAGAGGTAGAGACAGAAAATACTTTTCTGAGAACTCTTCAGACAATATGAGAAAATACTATCTGATATGACAGGATATGAGGTCGAAAGGAGAACAGTATAATCAATGCCAAATCTAGGCTAAAACCACCAACAAAATCTAAGGACCAAGACCGATTTGTTTAGCTAGAAGATTATTTGCAAATCTTTCTAAAAACATTAGCACAAGAATGTGAAGGCAAGGTGCATCTTATTGAAAGTCACACTATCTGAGAAAGAGGTAAAGGATGGGACAAGGAAGGTTTGAAAAACAGACTGAAGCACTGCTGAAAACCAAGGAACAGAAGCCAGAGATGCTGAAGTAATGTGCAAGAAAACCCAGGAAGGATGTCATAGCATAGAGAGAAAGAAGATAAATTATGAAGAAAGGTTTGTGTGGAGAGGCTAAGGATATGAAAAAAAAATGGCAGAAGCTAAAAAGCTGCATGAGGTTTGCTCAACTTTCTGATCAAGGCTGATTAATGGCAGGGGAAGATTTGATGTGGAATTCAGTGCAAAAAGAAAAGGCAATGACACACATATACATTGGATTTTGAGTGATTGGGGCTTTATTGCCAATAGAGTTCTTTCCCCTCGAAGATTAACTTAAAGAATTCTGTGAAGTATGCAAATCTACATTGGCAGATGATATGCAGAGTTCAGTTGTTCCTAGTACAGAACTTCTTCTACAGAATGTGGATTAACCTAATACAGAACCTGGATTACTTTTTAAGCACAAACTACAGGCAGTCTTGTTTGAGACAAGGGCATACCCATTAAAAGTAAGTAAGTTGCTAACAACAGATGTCTGAAAGTCCAATTCATTTTATTTAAAAAGCAAGAAAAATTACAGTTGACCGATATCATGCAGTATACATACAAGGATCTTAAATAACATGAAAAATGTGATCAAAGTTCTTACACTAATTACAGAACTTCATTTATACAGAAAACATAGCACACAAAGCAAAGAAGTATCTCCCATTATCTTGCCAGAAAATTGAATGCTTGCTTTAGATGTGATACACTTTAGAAGGCTATAGGAATGTTACTTTGTAATCATAAATGACTCACTTTCTTTAAATTCTCTAAACAAAACACAATAAATTATACAAAGATGTATGATGAATTTCTAGAGTACCTTGATCTTTTATTCAAATGAGAGGGGGAAAACCCACATTGGTTTAACATTTCTGTGATCAACCTCTACTCATTTTTACCTGGAATGCACAATTTATTTAAAAGAGGGCAGGTTTGGCACTTTTATACTGATGTCACCAATATTAATATTTCTTGGGATCTCTGGAAGGTTCATATTCTTTACAGCTGACACAGCGCGGGCTGGGGCTCCTGCTAAACCAGCCTGTATTCAGAAGAAAAAGATATGCTAAGATATTGGCTTTTAAAATCAATAAAATGCTATTAAGATCTTTAAATTATAAGACAACAAAGCTAAGATTATAAAAATACAATGGTATTTTGAGTTGGAATGAAATGGATTATTCTGAAATATTCAACCCAGAAAGAGAAAAAAGCTGTTCACACAAATTCTAAAATATGGTTAAAGCATGCAATGGCAACTTGATGAAAAAAATTAACATGTAGTCTGTAAAACAACCAGACTGAGGTTAAAGTTAAGGTTCATGCTGTCCTTGATTGTTACTGTTTCCAGGCACTGCAGCATATATGATATATAACCTCTACCACTTGTCTTACATCTGAAATCAATAAATATTTTAAAATCATCCAGTTTTTGTCAGATGTCTCCCACCTCAAATATAAATAATGCTTTTTTCTTATGGTTTCAACAATGAACTATTGTAACTCATATGTCCAAGTATTTTATGAAATAAACTGACCTAAACTGATCTATGTTTAAAATTATTTTTCACACAGAATGTAATTAATTTCAAAAGATGGTGGCTAAAGTCCTGTTGCTTATTGTAGTAAGTCACATTTGAGTAGGCTCATTTAATTAGTTGGGATTTGGTGAGTCAATTCTTCCATAAGGTACACTGATTCGAATGAGCCAGATCTAGTTGTGACATACTTTACTGTAGTAAATTGCAACCAGAATAGGCCCAACTGAATCAACAGAATTTATGGAGAAATTGATTAATCAATTCCCCACTGAATCAATGGACCTACTCTATAGCAATTTTCTATGCTAAGCAACAGGATTTTAACCATTGTTTTAATGTAATACATTGAAACTAAGTCATCATTTGGGACAGGTATACGAAAAGACTCCAGGTCCAGTGCATTCAAGGTTTCCTTATGTGGTTCACACATGCTTATAAAAATACAGAGATCTCAATATCTGTTAATATTACTACCCTTCTGCTTTTACCAAAATGTTTGGAAGGATGTATACATGCTACAGCAGAATATATTCATGGAGGAATAAAATAAATACGTGCCCACGATTTATACCTTGATTTCTGGCAGTGAAAAATACGGCAATTAAGCTCAATTATTTGGTTTAAAAAAACTATCAGCTACAGTTCTACAAGTGTATTATGCTCCGCTTCAAACAAATTATTCACCTTCCTAGCAGATTTTAGACGTTTTTCCCTTATACCCTCCTCTAATAAACAGCTATGTTTTTAAGTAATACATTCTATGGCATATCACTGCACTAACCAAAAAACATACCGCTTCACATGCATTTTAAAATACCCTCAGAAGGAAGCAGAGATTATGCAGGACTTCTGACTATGTCAAATAAATTCGCTAGACTTGAAGTAATTTTAGGCATATGCCAAGACGGCAGGGAGAATTCATTGTGGCAAATCTGCTATTTTCTACATACATACTGCCAGGCTTCTGCCATTATGACAAGGACGGCAAATATTTTTCATCCTTTTTCGGTTCTTTACAACCATTTTTTAAAAACAAACAAGCCTCCCTTTGCTCCCAATTAGAGGGAAATAAAGTATGACAGGTCTGGAGCTGGTATTGTTGTGGATATGTAAATTAAACGAGATCCCTGGGTTTTGTGGATCCTCTCCTGATCTACTCTCACCTTTTTCTTCTTCCAGAGTTCCAAAGGTGGAAGAGCAACAACAAAAGACTATTCTGGTGGCACATGGAGGCAACTCATAAAGATATACCTACTTGATGCCTGAGAACAGCTCTGAAATCTGTGGTCCAGGGGGTACTCACAGCTCTGTATTCTAACTTCCACTTAAAATATTCAAGTTGCTACAGCAACAAAGTAATTTTGTTAATTTTAAGGCACACATGCTCCACAATAAATAATTTGTCCAGCTTGGGTAACTGTACAAGCCACTACATTACAATTCTTATGCTGTCCTGGAAACCTAACATTTTACTTCCAAGAACAGTCTTGCTGCACTCTTCATTTAGTCCTTCTTGTGGCAACTTTGGTCAGACTTAAAACTTGTCCACGAAAGCTCACATTAAAAAATATAAAACTTAGTCTTTAAGGTGCCACCACATTTTTATCTTTTTAAACCTTTTTAAACCTTTTTAAACCTTTTATTTTGTTTTTACCTATAAAGGGTTTTGTCAGACAGAGAGACAGAAACCTTTATTGGCATGCTGTACAAAATTAAAACACAGCAAGATGCAAATAAAACATTCAGCAGCTACCATGTGGCAGGGAACAGCCAAATAACATCGTTAAGGCTCAGCATTCAGCGACGGCACAATGCATCGCCTCTGCATGATGGACTGGATGTATCTGGCTGTTGTCAGGGTAAGTTCCTTAATAGTTTTGTCTATACGAATACTTCCTAACATCAGAAAGTTTGATTATGAATTTTGGAGGTGGGGCACTCTCTAAGATAAGCATCAGGAATCTATTTGGCTCTTAAGCAGCAGAATTTCTATATACTCTATAAAGCTTTTATTCGTTTTTATTCAAAATAAGAAACAAAAACCTACTTTAAAAGCCAGTACCCTTTCTAGAAAAAAATGATATTACATGTCATGACAGATTTCCATCTGTTTCTTATGAAGTGTCGCTGGACACAGGCTTCATTGAATTGAGTGAGCCTTGTTTCTGAGTAAATATACTTACATCAGGTTGTTTTTCATCCTTTTTTGGTTCTTTACAACCATTTTTAAAAAACAAGATCAGCCTTGTTTCTGAGTAAATATGCTTAGATCAGGTTGTTAGTCGAAAGCCTCATATAGCAAAAAAGAAAAAAGAAAAAAAAAGAACATTTTGCCTGTTTTGTCTTCTGCTGTAAAATTATTTCTCCAGACACAGATTGTAATCTTCACACACCCTTCACTAAATAAATACTCATTTTTTGGCAAGAACATCTAGTTCTTACAGTATCATTTGCAAAAATGCATGAAAGTTTAGCTCTCCAAATTTAAATCTTCAGGTCACAGCCTCAATTTTTTGCAGGAAAAGAAAGGACCAAACACTGACTACATGCAACTAGAAAGTTTAAATTTCACTCTAATTTTTGTCCTTATTTACCTACTTTTTACAACTTATTTTTGAAAAATAACATGTAAAAGGACCAAACACTGACTACATGCAACTAGAAAGTTTAAATTTCACTCTAATTTTTGTCCCTATTTACCTACTTTTTACAACTTACTTTTGAAAATTAACATGTAACATTTAAATGGCTATACTTAATCAGATGATTCCGAAGAGCAGAGAATAATGTTGCCAAACAATGGGATGTTGTAATATCCTAACCAGATAAATCCATGCTGGCTAAGAAATGCCTTTATAGTACATCTACGTAAAAAAGGTGCAGCCCAGTTTGATATACTTTTACTCTTAGATGAAATTCTGCAAAGTCCAACAAGAGTAAGTCCCAAATAAAAGCCAATGTGCTACAGTGGGTAGCATGTCAAACCCCTGTTCAGACATGGAAAGTGACCAGAAGCAACAATGGTAAACCATTCCTTGAACAACACATGTACCTTAAAAACCACATTAGGGTTGCCATTAGTCAGAAGAACATAACAGCAATTCCCAAATAAGGAAGCACAGCATTGCAGCCTTATAGCAGGATATAATCCCTCCCAACCACCTCCCATACGCCTTAAAATTTTCCTTTTACTTCTAGTTGAGTTAGAAAGGGCATGTTGGCTTGTAAGCTTATACCTATACATGTTCATCTCTTGGGACTACAATGCTGAAGGCTAGCTTGAAGATGCAGTCTCTAAGAAGAACTGGGACATAACCTAAAACAGTCCAGAAACCCTAGAGATACCATACAATCACATAAAAGTAACTGCTTTACAATACCTTCTATATCGAAACAGAAAAAATTTCAACATAAACTAATTCATGCTATCTACTAAAGGAGGCTAGCTTGAAGATGCAGTCTCTAAGAACTGGGGCATAACCTAAAACTGTCCAGAAACCCTAGAGATACAATGCAATCACATAAAAGTAACTGTTTTACAATACCTTCTATATCAAAACAGAAAAAATTTAGACATAAACTAATTCATGTCATCTACTAAAAATCATTAAGTCCCTCAGAATAATGCAACATCTGATACTCTTCTGTATGGCTGTGTCTTCTTTGAGTCCTAAGGAGGTTTTTACTTTTCTATATCTTTAGATTAACATCTCAAAGATGTATCCACACAAGTATACTCAGTTCAGGAGTTCATGGAATCATAGCTCCAAAGGTATCAGAAGCAGGAACCCTCCGATACCTTTACTGTTCTGAAAACACAGAGAGGGCTTTATAATGTTAGGGAAACATCTAGCAGAGTAATTCTGGCCACAAAGGGCAAACAACCTATCAAATGGAAGTCAGAGGAAAGAGCAGAAAACAAGGTGACTGAAACATCAAGCTGGTCCATTTAGTCAAGAGAAAGTGGGGCTACAGATACAAAAAGAAAGTGGGGGATTAGATAGTGCAGATTAAGTCACAAAATCAGGAACCCCTGAAAAACTGACCATGGCTGAGATGATGAGTTCATAAAGCACACAGTGCTCACCAGGTATTTCAAGTGCAGCACCTGAGTCCATGAACTCCAATACCAAATAGCACAGCACACCAAGGAAATGGAACTGCTGTACTCATTCAATGTCAACATTATAAGGAGTTATTTGGGGTGTGAAATCTCTCTTTAACCTAACAGCCACCCAGTTTTCAATGTGTTCGCTCAACTGAGAAGTGATAAACCAAAGATGCATACAGTATACCATATGTGTATGTATATACCTTCCGATTCATATTGATGAAGAGGATCATTCTTTACCAATTTTTATGCTCTCTTTCATGGGCTTTCAGTCACTCTAGTCGCCCTCCCACCACCCTACATTTAAGGTCACTCTAGTCGCCCTCCCACCACCCTACTCTACATTTAAAAGAAGATGAGTTTTAAAATAAACATCTAACTAACAGCCTA